TGAAGCTCAGTCGAAATTAAATAGGTTGGTCGATTATAAAGGCAAAACCTTTGCTTCAAGCCCTCAGCTTAACTTTCCACATTAAGAGTTAAGCTAAGCCACAGCCATTTAATTTGAACGTTGCGTATGTAGTTTTTAATACGAGCATTTAGATTGCTCTTTCAGAAATGAAATACAACTTTTGCCTTTGACATCTTAGTCGTTCGCTGGGGTCTTCCTCTATGCTAGGTTTGCTATGGTTTGATTTCTTATAAATGATACAGAGAATTGAGTCTCAGCTCCAGCAGCATTACCGCTTCCCTATTTTTATACCCTTGCAGAGGGTATTATAATTTTGGTCAAAAGTGTGCAACGCAGTGAAGGAGACATCTCCGACCCTATAAGGTATATATATTCTTGATCAGGATCGCGTCCTGAGTTGATATAAGCATTTCCGTCTGTCCGTCTGTCTGTTTCTACGTGAACTAGGCTCTCAGTTTTAAAGATATCGAATTAAAACTTTGCACACACCCTTCGTTCCTTTGCACGCAGTATATAAGTGGGAACGGCTGGGATCGGCCGACTACATCCTATAGCCGCCATATAACTCAACGATTGAATATGCCATAACTTAAAGAATATTCTGCAAGGGTATATCTGAATTGAGATAGTAGCTGCGGACCTTTAGGCATCACGCGGCCAAGCGCTTTGTTATAACTTCTGTCGCAATTTGAGCTTGACGTATTGCTCGGCGAGTCCGGCAGAGTTGAACAAAAAGAGTTGTTGGACAAAGAAGCGTGGGCTCGGAAGGGAAGTTGTCTAGAATCAGCTGTCTTGCGAAAAAGATTGCCTTAACGAATTCCGGCGTACGCCCGAACCGTCAGGTAAGAATTGTGCAGGTCCTGGTTCGACTAGCCAGGAAGGACGCGCGATCGATCGACTAGAATCCAGAGACACCGCGCCTGTAACAAAACAAGGAAAACTGAGGACAACGAGCAGCAAACGCTGGCCCAACGGCAAGCAAGCTATACTCCAACCGTTAGGTAGAAACTGTGGATGCGTCTGGTTTCAACGGCTGGGACAGAGCAAGGGATAGGAAACTGCGGCTGCGAAAGGCGTGTGCCTTAAGAACCCAGTGCCTGTTCACCCAAATCTGGGAACGGTGACCCATCCCTAAGCCCTGATGGGCGCGAGGCCAACGACAACGGACTCAACCCGGAGCACCGGAGACGAGGCGACCAACATCAGCACATCCCGCAGCAACCACGGTGGAAGGACAGCGACGGCGGAGCACTTACTATATGCGTCAAGTCCCTAGTTTGTCACTATCCTGGGCCAAGGGCCTAGTCGGCAAATAAAGATACTCACATACAGTGGCGGACTAAAGTCTACATACGATCCCTTTTTTGGAGTTTAGCCAGTTCTATAGCGTTTCCAGTAAAAGTAATGATGCAGTCCGGTTTTAAATTTAATTATAAGACAAAATCCAAAATATCGTCTTTATTCAATAATAGCTTTCAAAGTTTTTAACCAAAAACTGAAAAAGGGCACTGATAAAAGTCTACATACGTTTCGTTAGACAGCCGTTTCTGGTATTCCTTTTAGCTTACAACTAACGGTAAAGTACCGTTCTTTTCTGAATTATGCTTTACGCGGTATTTGGCTTCGCTTTATTTGTATTTTATTATTTGGAACACGTTACAATCGCGAAAATGTCTCCTCGAAAGGAAATTCCTGTTCCTGTTCGGAAATTGGTGATAAAACACAGAAAAGAAGAAAAATCATTTGGCGAAATTGCTAAATTGTTAAATTTAAGCAAAGCGACAGTTCAAATAATTTATAAAAACTTCGAAAAATCGAGCACATTCGAGAGTAAGCCGCGCAGTGGCCGTCCAAAAAAGCTTTCTCGAAGGGACATCTCCTTCATCCGCAGTGAGGTTGGCCAAAACCCTAGGATACATGCTACAAGTTTGGTCCAGAAACTAGCTGACAGATCCAAAATTGATGTGAACCCACGCACAATAACAAGGGCTCTAAACAATGAAGGATTCCGCAGCAGGACTCCTCGCAAGAAACCTCTCATAAGTGAGAAAAATCGTGCCCTTCGTTTGGAGTTCGCAAAAGAGCATCTTAACAAGGATTATGAGTTCTGGAAAAAGGTTTTGTTTACTGATGAGTCCAAATAGAACATCTTTGGATATGATGGCAGGGCCAAGGTTTGGAGGAAACCCAACACTGGAATGGATCCCAAGCACCTCATTCCAACAGTAAAGCATGGCGGTGGGAGTGTCATGGTTTGGGGAGCAGTTGCAGCGTCGGGAGTAGGCAACTTGGTGTTCATCGAGGGTAATATGGATCGTTTCCAAAATAAGACCATATTGGAAAACAATTTGAAGTCATCGGTGGACAAACTATGCCTTGGCCCAAGCTGGATCTTCCAACAGGACAATGATCCTAAGCATACAGCGAAGATAGTGAAGGATTGGCTGCTGTATTATGCCCCCCGGCAATTACATTCACCACCACAAAGTCCGGACTTGAATATAATAGAGCACGTTTGGGAAATTTTGGAACGAAAAATTCGAAAACACCCTATAAGTAGCGCTCCTATGCAGCGAGAAAAACTTCAAGAGGAGTATTTATTGAATATTATTATTGAATAAACACGATATTTTGGTTTTTGTCTTATAATTAAATTTAAAACAAGACTGCATCATTACTTTTACTGGAAACGCTATAGAGCTGGCTAAACTCCAAAAAAAGGGGTCGTATGTAGACTTTAGTCCGCCACTGTATATATATTTCAACCTTCTATCCGTTCTCTTTAGACAATCGGGCGGTAACGTTTAATACAAATTTGGCAGGCATAAACCAAATCAGTTCGTTACAATTCGCTCTCCTATAAAGTGTGAAGGTGGGTTTGGTTTCTTCCCTACTTCTAGGCTGCAGGGTATATAAATGTGAAATGTTGGGCACTACATGTCGGTATATAGCTAAATTGATAGCAGCAATAAAATAGAGTTTAAAAAATTAAGGCCGCCTAAGGGTCTCCTTAATAAAGGTTTTGGTCGCGAAGTTGGCCGAGATTGTTATCACGCCCTTGATAAATGGTTTAGGTTCTAATTAAATTCTAATTAATTATATAATTGTTTTTGTATACATTGAAAAAATCTCAAAAAACTGAAAGAATACTGCAAATACATCTATCACTTGTACTAGCCACAGTAGATGTAAGAAACGTCGCTTAAGGGGTTATCCGGGTCTTGACACTTCAAAAAATTAATTTGTTTCAAAGCACAAAGTGCCAGGAATGTTGTCCAAACATTTTAAGTCGATCGAAGCAAAACTGTAGGAATGGGAGAAATTTAAAGCCCAGCGCGTCGAACGTCACAACTGGCAATTCGGGCTCTGGCGTCGAGCAATAAATTAAAATTATAAAACTTTTGTAAGATCTTTTACAAAAATTTATGAAAATAGGCCTTATTTGGTGCTTCAAGACCCGGATAACCCCTTAAATCCATGCATCGATGTTTTTTCAATTTTTTTAAAACAATGTTCTGGGGACCATTAATGTTTTTGTCACATCAATAAAGAGAAGAAATCGCAGGATATTTGTGAGTCAGACGATATTTATAATGACATATTTTTAGATATTTAACTGGGAGCTTAGAATACTGGATTGGCGTTTTACCAATGCATAAGTCTGTGAATTCGTGCGAGGAACTTAAGTAGGGCTGGGCAGATCTCTATAGATCAATAAAAATGAAACCATTTTTCTGTTGATCTCATAGCTTGGATCTTCAGATTTTTTTAATATGTTTCAGCATAAATAGCAAAAAATATCAGTAAAGTCAATTTAATTTTTTGTTCTTTATTTTTAAATATCGATGTCTTATCGATGTTTGCTTGAAAAACTTCGAAAACATCAAAGTCCACGAACATCGAGGCTTTTTTTCGAAAGTTTTAAATTATGTTAATATCTTTGAAGACATTACAAAACTGTGAACTGATTTCTTTTACTTTCTAAAACAAAGTAATTCGTGCCACCGTAGACAATTTTATTCGAAAGCCAAAAATGGATTTTTATTATTATCTCTGGCCAGAATGGATATATTTATGATTCTTCAGAAGGAAAATCGGAATTTTTTTGTGTGCTAATGCGCAGAGAAAAGTGTTTATATAAGCTAGTGTTCTCTAAAAAGCGATTTTATCATAAATTTAACTTTTTTGCTTAAAACCTAGTACTCAGATCGACAAGCGAGTACGCTTGCTTAAAAACTTTAATCTTTCCAGTGTGACCAAAATTTCGAGAGTTCATTAGAATTAAGCGTGCTACGGTCGTACTGTCAATCAGCTGGGTTGTTGACAAGCAGATAAAATTCAAATATCCTATTTGCGGGAAAGAGCCTTTAAAAGATATTATCAACTACATTGGTAAGACAAGTCTGCCGCTGTACAAAGAAATTAAAAACAATACAATTTAAATTTAGCAGTTGTTTTTTTTATTTACTGATAATTATTTGCTAATTTAAATTTCAGAGCTGCACTCTTATTATGTTTTTTCGAACAATTTTGACCTAAGAAACACTTTGCTCTGACAAAAGGCACCCCATATGGTATTAATGTTATTTTGTCCTCATATGTAAGCTCCTGCAATCGACTTTTGCGGGTTTTTGATTTTTTCCCTCCATTTTATAAAATGTTCAGTGAGAAGCGCACTCCAAAAGATTACATTTTTTATTCTTTTCGCTAGGGTTCACCCAAAGTTCATTTCAGCAGACCGGCAACGCTGTGAAATTTTCTGGTATTTTTTTCGTCATTTTAAGTACCGAGGTGAAAAAAAGCCTGACGTAAAGTGAACGCCAGCTGTTTGCCTCTCGCTCTCTCTCATGACTGGCGTACAGTTTTTGTCGATCTGAGTACTAGGCTTAACCCACATGGTCTTATTCCATCGTTCCACTATTGAAGCTCAGTCACCGACGCTATTTTGACATACATGAAATAGCATTAGATTAGAATTGAAATATTTCCAACCGGATTGTATATTCAGTTATTCAACTTAGGGTTACACTGGTTAAGATTTTGTTGTTTTGATTACATTGATTTTGAAATGGGAAAAGAAGGTAGTATAAAACAATAAATTCTTGTGCGGTTTTAAATGTTACCCAGGTATTTTTTTTAGATCACCGCCCAAGTCTATCTAAACGGCAAAAGCTACCGCACTCTTCTAACATGCCTCTCAACGGAAAATCTCCGCTCACTCAGTCTACTTCAAGTTCTGTGCCGTCTGTTGAGCAGGATAGCTCAAAGGTACAGACGTGCAATGTCAACATACTTGAATTTCCGTACATTCGCACGAGAACAACTTTGACAAAAAAATTAGCAAATATTACTACATCCCCCAACGCTTGTAAAAAAATTAAAAGGCGACGCAATAGCGAAACTTCTAGTGACGAAGAACGATGGCTTAATGCAATAGAAACAGGAAAGCTGGACGATGTTGATGAGGAAATGAAGAAAATCAAGGACCCGAAGCTGATGACAGCTCGTCAACGTGCCTTGTATGATACAGATACAAGTGGCTTTGTTGAAGAGTTAATTGCACTTCCAAGTGGTTATAAGGAAAAGGAAAAACCACAAACGGCGGAGGAAATTCACAGAGCTGTTCTTAAATCACAGAAACGCAAACAACAAGCTGACGAACGGCGAGAAAAGGATAAACAGAAAACGATGGAGCGCTTGTTAAAAAAACAGGAATCCAACAAACAGCGCTCTTCATTTCGCAATAAGCAATCACTTAAATCCTCATGTCCAAAAATAACCTATATAAGTGCCAGAAAAGGTAACTATATAGTTGTTCCACCAGGACACGAGTTTCTTCTAAAAGCACAAATACCTCTCAAACCGCCATCCTCAAAATTGTGCTACGTTAGGGGCTGTGGAAATCGAAAGGCTTACAACTGTTCAACCACAAAAGTTCCTTTATGCAGTCTCACATGTTATCGTAAGAATATTTTAAGCAATTCCAACCAATAAAAGTCTGCTTAGGCGCCAGTAATTTTAATAGTGATTTACAAAAAAATTGTTTATTATTTCATTCTGCTCAGTTTCGATGCGTTGCAAATACTGTAGTTCACTCTTTAAACGTTCTAGTTCTACAGTTTGCTCGAAAATCTCGTTCCGATAGACTTGCTGCTCACTCTGCCGCTGATTTGAAATGGTTTTTAGCTGATTCTGGTTGCCAATTGCGCATAGTTTTTCCCTATCGACATCTTTTGCAAGCAATTCAGAGACTTTACAAAAATCATTAGCTAACTTCTTGAAAATCGTTAAATTTTTCGAGTATTTTAAGCATTCTTGTTTAACTTTTATTTTTTCACCAGCAAGGCTAGGTTCCTCAACACGCAGTCTATAGATATCATCTATAAAAAGTCCAACTTTTTGAAGTTCCTCCATGTTAACTCGGAAATGAATAATTTTTACGTATTTGTATTGTGTTATGTTACGACTAACGTTGCTATTGACAACTTATACCAAAATCTTACATTTATAACACTGGTCGATAAGACTCACACCTTTTGTTCCCCCATTTAATAAATGCAATTTATCAAAAGCGTAATTTATACAATTTTCTGGTTAATTAGGAAAGTATAGATTCATTTATGTGACTTTTTGGTGTATCACAGTGCTATTAGTGTTTAATACATTTAAAAACAGAATATTTTCTTAGTCTAAGGAAACTGTTCGATAATTTGCTTTCTGACAACAGTATCACAGTGTTATTTCTGTTTAATACATTTAATAAAAAAATACAAAAAACACAAAGTAATAATAATTTGGTAAACAAAATGATATGAAGTCAACCTATTATGCAAAAGAACAGCATGGTTTACGCAGAGCCGAAGATGATTTCGGCAAGCAGAAGTTTTTATTAGACGTGCAGCAACTTCGATGAAAACATCGATGCATCGATGTTTTTGAAATTTTCTAAATCATCGATGTTTCTGTGCCGTCACTATCAAGAGAAAAAGGGAAAGGAAAGCTACGTAAAAAAAAAAAAAGGTCAGTACCAAGCCAGACTGCATCTTGGGACTATTTCACTTGCTTGCAAGCAAAAAATACCACGGCGCGCTCCGAAGCAATAGTTATGCTCAGGCAGCATATAGAGACTACGAATGAGGCCGAAGTGTGCGAGCTGTTGAAGTATTGGAAGGTACGTTTCTAAATTGTTTTAAGTCATTATTTGTAGTAGTTAATTATGCTTTCAGGAGTCGTCGAACAGTATGGCGCCCTTCAAAGAAGTGGCAAAAAAATTTCTATGTGTCCCTGCCACTTCCTGCGAGTCAGAAAGAGCCTTCAGCAAGGCGGGGCAAATTATTTCTAACCGCAGGACTCTCCTCAAGCCTGATATTGTTGACAAATTTATGTTCATAAACAAAAATCACATTTTTTTAAAAAATGTTTAACTAAATTTTAAGAAATGATTTCCGTTTTCTAAACCAAGTGAATAAATGTTTTGTTTTTCTATTTTTAATACAACCACAAGTGTGCATTTTAATAATTTAAACAAGAGAGAACGCTATAGTCGAGTGCCTCGACTATTAGATACCCGTTACTCAGCTAAACAACTTAATATAAATATGCCTTCTTGTGTTTTTTTTTTTTTTTTTTTTTTTTTTAACATAATGTGATTTATAGTGACCACAGGAAAAAAGGACAAAAAGTTCAAATTATCAATTTGAATTCGGCGATCTCTTAGTGCTGGCAGCTTTACAGCACGAGCATCAGCACCAGCGCTGCTTTAGCGCAGGCAGCTTTCGTCCTGCACCAGCAGCTGTGTTTATGTTTATGTTTTTGAGTGCAATAAATTGACTAGAAATATTAAACATACATACTTATATTGGCTAAATACAACATTCTTAAATAGTATTATGTATATTAAAGTCAAATGTTTGCACAACACGAGTAACGGGTATAACGAATAGCTTTCTTTGAAAGGAGTTATCTTTGCCGGCAATGCAACTGTGTACAATGTAAATACATACATATGTATAACACATACAACACACATACACCATTGTTTAACCAGACCTCCAATTGGCACCTAGATTTGATTTGCATAGTCCTTGGGATATAGTTCGGTATTGACAAATGAAAACCATCGCAATTTTCTTTAAAAAAAATCCTTATCGTGAATTAACGTTTACTCTGTTGAGCACCTTGGCCAGCTGTTCCAAAGTCATCCGTTAAATGGCGCCAAAAGGCGGGAATGAGGCGCTAGGAAGCTTATTATGGGTTTTTGGGCGTTAGAGTGGGCGTGGCAAACTTTTATTAGGGCAATCGATATTTATTGACGAAACAAATATATATCAATTAAAATTTTCATAATATCATCAAAACTGTGGTCACAGCTTGTGGCTTCTGGCCGTCAGAGGGGGCGTGGCACCATTTTAAAATAAACTTGCGCTGCGTAGGAACTCCTAAAATCTACATGCAAAATGCCAATTTTCTAGCTTTTATAGTTTCCGAGATCTCAGCGTTCATACGGACAGACAGACGGACAGACGGACATGGCTAGATCGACTCGGCTAGTGATCCTGAACAAGAATATACATATATACTTTATAGGGTCGGAAACGCTTCCTTCTACCTGTTACATACTTTTGCACGAATACAATATACCCTTTTACTCTACGAGTAACGGGTATAAAAATATTATTTTAATTTAAAAAACAAAGGTTTGTAAATTTTTCGATAAGCTTATCGATTGTTGCTTTGGGAGTCGTCCTATTTTTATAAAAACAAAACCGCAACTTTAAAATCGTTCAAAATGACTATACCTCGGGGTATATGATTTTGTTAAAGCCTAGTATTCAGATTGACGAAAACCGTACGCCGTAGCGAGAGGGAAACAGCTGGCGTTCACTTTTCGTCGGGCCTTTTTTTCACGTCGGTACTCAGATCGACGAAAAAAATACCAGAAAACTTCATAGCGTTGCCACTCTGCTGAAATGAACTTTGGGTGAACCCTAGCGAAAATATTAAAAAGGTTAATCTTTTGGCGTGCGCTTCTCACTGAACATTATAAGAAATGGAGGGAAAAACTAAAAAAACTCGATTGCAGGAGTTTACATGTGAGGACAAAATAACATTAATACTATCTGGGGTGCTTCTTGTAAGAGCAAAATGTTTTTTAGGTCAAGAATGTACGAAAAATACAATAAAACTGCAACTATGAACTTTAAATTAGCAAATAATTCTCAGTAAGTTAAAACAAAAACAACTGTTAAATTTAAATTGTATTGTCTTTTAATTTCTTTGTACAGCGGCAGACTTGTCTTGCCAATGTAGTTGATAATATCTTTTAAAGGCTCTTTCCCGCAAATACGATATTTGAATTTAACTGCTTGTCAACAAACCCAGCTGATTGACAGTACGACCGTAGCACGCTTAAATCCGATGAACTCTCGAAATTTTGGTCACACTGGAAAGATTAAAGTTTTTACGCTAGCATACTCGTTTGTCGATCTGAGTTCTAGGCTTAAGAAACAACGTCCGATTTTTATAAAACTAAAGCTGTATTTCCGAAATTGCTAAAAGAACACTATATCTCAGACTTTATGAATATATTGTAAGAAACAATGAAGGTAATATTAGTTCCCGTTTGCTCCTTAAGCCTAGTACTCAGATCGACAAACGACTACGCTAGCGTAAAAACTTTAATCTTTACAGTGTGATCAAAATTTCGAGAGTTTATCAGAAATAAGCGAGCTACGGTCGTACTGTCAATCAGCTGGGTTTGTTGACAAGCAGTTAAAATTCAAATATCGTATTTGCGAGAAACAGCTTTAAAAAGCTTTGGCAAGACAAGACTGCCGTTGTACAACGAAATAAAAAAACAATACGATTTAAATTTAACAGTTGTTTTTGTTTTAACTTACTGAGAATTATTTGCTAATTTAAAGTTCATAGTTGCAGTTTTATTGTTTTTTTTCGTAAATTGTTGACCTAAGAAACCTTTTGATCTGACAAGAGGCACCCCAGATAGTATTAATATTACTTTGTCCTCACATGTAAACTCCTGCAATCGACTTTTGCGGGTTTTTTTTATTTTTTTCCTCCATTTTTTAAAATGTTCAGTGAGAAGCGCACGCCAAAAAATTAAATTTTTGAAGCGTAGTACTCAGATCGACGAAAACTGTACGCCAGTCGTGAGAGAGAAACAGCTGACGTACACTTTTCGTCTTAGGTTTTTTTCTTTCTTCAGATCGACGAAAAAAATTTTAGAAAATTGCATAGCGTTACCAGTCTGCGGAAATGAACGAACATCATATTTACGGACGGATAAAAAATTAACTCCACTTACAACAGATACCAATATTATTAAATAATAAATACTACCCCCATACTCATCAATACTTTCTGCTGAAATAATAGCCATCCTAATAGCGATCGACCAAGTCAAAAGCACCCTTGTGCTCATGATCTGCTCTGACTCTCTCTGAGAAACTGACGCCATAACTAACAACAACAACATTTATTCCAACAAAATCAGATCGTATCTAACAAAACTAGCCCCAAAAAATCAAAATATTATGGATCCCCGGTCCTGTAGGCATAGCATGCAACGATCTTGCCGACCATACCGCAAAATCCACAAGCATATGCCCCTTATGTACACCCCAAACATAAATCTAACAGAAACCTAAAAAAAGAATTCCTAAGAAGAAATAGACAAAATAAAAATTACTGCAATCAATGGTACTAAACTATGAACACAGACTATTGAAAATGTTTTTTAATAAACTTAAGGAAAAATTTAAATTTACTTTTGTTTGACATTGATTAGATTATAAAAATAGTTAACATAAGCATTTTTAATTCATATTTAAAGTTTATGATCGATTATATCTAATAAACATGAAAAAGGGTTGGTCAAAAAAATAAGTACAACAATTCTCAAAACTCAAAAACTCAAAACGTAAACACAAATGTTCACTATTTTCTTAGCGGTAGTATAGTATATCAACTCTAATTTTGTAAAATTTTCTTCATTTTGGCATACTAGCAAAAAGTTTGCGACAATACCATACCAGGTTTTTTGAAGAAATCACCGCAATTCTTTGGCATGTAGAAACGTATTTGTGCCAATACGACGTTTTAAGTCTTCTCAACTCATAAAGTTTACCTCAATTTCTGTAAACCAAGCCTTGACCAGCTTATAGGTGTTTTGGGTTTATATCCGAATCGGGTCATAATATCAGTTAGGCGATGTATCGGACCAACGCCATGCCAAGAAAAACTGACCTAAATCATTATGCATCCACTCCGTTGCTCAACGTTCTTTTTTGTGTACCGGACGTCGAATTCTTTGCCTTTTGGGGTCTTACATATCGTCTCAAGTCATTTCCAAAAATATTTATTATTGTTTCGTCGCTCCATAAAATATTATTCTACTTCTTAGACCCTTCTGGTCCAGACAATGCCAAATAATTTTCAGGAAACTTTCTCATATTTAAATTTTGTTTTCGATGAAATGTAACTTTTCGGGCTTATTGTCCTGGAAAGCTTGCATTTTATACCCGTTACTCGTAAAGTAAAAGGGTATATTGTATTTGTGCAAAAGTATGTAACAGGTAGAAGGAAGCGTTTCCGACCCTAAAAAGTATATATATTCTTGTTCACGATCACTAGCCGAGTCGAGCTAGGCATGTCCGTCTGTCCGTCTCTCCGTCTGTCCGTCTGTCTGTCCGTATGAACGCTGAGATCTCGGAAACTATAAAAGCTAGAAGATTGGCATTTTGCATGTAGATTTTAAGAGTTCCTACGCAGCGCAAGTTTGTTTCAAAATGGTGCCACGCCCCCTCTGACGCCCACAAGCTACAAGCTGTGGCCACAGTTTTGATGCTATTATGAAAATTTTAATTGATATGTATTTGTTTCGTCAATACCTATCGATTGGCCTAATAAAAGTTTGCCACGCCCACTCTAACGCCCAAAAACCTATTAAACGCTTAAGCCTCGCTAGCGCCTCATTCCCGCCTTTCATGGCGGCATCTAACGGATGACTTTGGAACAGCTGGCCAAGGTGCTCAACAGAGTCAACGTTAATTCTCGATAAGGATTTCTATTAAAGGAAATTGCGATGGTTTTCATTTGTCAATACCGAACTATATCCCAAGGACTATGCAAATCAAATC